TCAATTTTTGTTTGTTACTTTTCGGTAGAAATCTGCATGGTATCGGTAGATTCCTTGACAAATCGGTAGACCTGGCATCTCTGCACAGATCACAGAGGTTATTCTGTGATCTGTGGTAAAAATATAGTGCGCTGTTGTCGTCCATCATATTTGGCGATTTTTTAAAGAATACGGAGGAAAAAATAACGTGCAAAGACCGAAAGTTGCAGTACCTTTCAATGGATTTAATTACAAAATAAAACAGTGACTACTTAGGTGTGTCTAGTCTAAGAATCAATTTTTGCACGGAAAAGTATATTTACAAAGACCGTTCGGCAGGATTAGATTAAATAGGTTTTGAAACGTGGCCGCAAAGAGGAAGGTCTAAGATCTAAAACTCGGTTCCAAGTTCCAAGGCGGTCAATAAATCGATATAATTCACCTGAAAACCAGGCGCAAAATCGTCGAAATTATAACTACAACTGAACAAAGTAAATGGGAGATTAGAATAGAGTGTCACTAACTAAACAGTTGCTCGGTGGCTCTTTCCAGGTCCCAATTGTATGAGGAAAGGGCTACTCGGGCTTGGTGCTCTTCAATGCCCATATCAACTAGGCGCTTAATTTTGTCATCACATTCCGTGTTAATGCTCGGACCTAAAACGCCACAGAATTCATTGGCTGTTACTCGCTAGTTTTCAAAAAATAAGGCCTACCTCCTGCATAGGCATTAGTCCAGTGCTTGGCAGTCAATTTGAACATTTCTAAATTATCTTTATACTGTCGGGCTACCACAGCGTCTTGTGGATCGTCCGGCTCCGCTGCCGACAAAAGGGCTTGTAACGACAGTAAAACTGTGCGTAGGGTCATGGCGGCCGCCCTACAACAACCTCGGTTGGAAAGATGGGCTTCGGTTCGCCCAAAACTCACCATTGATCCTTCAGAATGTCCAAACATATCGCCCCGGTCACTGAGGAAATGTTAGGGTGCCAAATTTTCGTGATAAAACGCACCTGCAAATCCCCAGAACTCTAAAGGTCTACAGAATGCAGTTAGTTTGCTTACCTTTGGAGGGTTGAACGGGTATGTTTCAGGTACTTTAATCTCCAGCACGAAGTTGCCCCCTTCGTAGGCGGTTTCAGGGGGTCCGGCTATTTCCCCACGGAGCTCCGTGTAATTGTTGTCTACTAGTTCTAGTTTGATGGCGCACTTTGCCACCTGGAACACAAGAGTGTCTTCAAATCTTTCTGAGGTAACCCCCCGTAATAATCAGTGATTGGATAAGATTGGAAATAAATTTTCCTCCAATTTCGCTGGGTTTGCATTGTTCTAACTCGCCAGGTTTCCCACGGATGTTTATGCGATACCAGTTTTTTTTGAAATTTTGCAGATTATTTAATTGCCGAGCGAAATAAACAGCGAATTGATCAATATGTTGACCACAAATGTTGGTTGTGCGAGCTGGAAGCGTCGCCCCTTTGATTAGTGTAGCTCCTAGCGCTGCTGATAACCTTTGGCTGAGGCAAAACAGGCCCAAGATCCCCAGAGACACGAACAGAAAAACACCCAGAACATAGCGAAACCAATTGGCCGCTGGCAACAGTGAGGCGAATAACAATGACGGACGCAAACGGTGAGTGACCTATTTCGAAACCTCCTGCCAGTTTATCTGGAAAAGCAAATGACCTACACTTGGAAAACTCACCTCCTCGCTCTTAATAACCTCTTTAAATTCGCGCTTGATTCTTTGAGCTGCGATGTTTGCCATTTTCACCTGTTTACTTCACTTTGCTACTAAATGATGGGGCATTACCGATTCAAGCGATCATGCAGAGCTTCGGGGCCAGGATGCAGCCTGTGCCGATTTTTTGTCACTTTTAATTTTTTTGTAAATATTCCAAAAATTCTCAAATGCGACCGAAGGACTTAATGTCAGTGTCAGTGTCAGACGGGGTGCTGTGATGTCAAGTCGATGGGGAGAAAAAGCCTGGTGCAAGGTTGGGGAATTTTACCGGGCGCGTTTTCATCCCCAACTGCTTTTAGATTTTTGAAAATCTTGCCTAGTTGGTTTTAACCGCGCATTATTCACCACCCTAGACACTCTCTGGAGATAGAGTTGCTCAAGAATTCACCAACTTTGTTAGTTGCCAGCAATTAAAGAAATTCTCGTCAATTTGACATCGCGGCTTCAGCACCAATGAGGGACATTAACCACTGATTCAGCAAGGAGTTGAAAACTCCGCTGAATTGCATTGATAGAGTTAAAGGAATGGTAAATATCTCAACCCCCCCCC